TGCAGGCTATATCTAATAAACTTACCTGGCCTATATATATGTGTGAAGTAGGCTAAGCGATCTATACTGATGATTGTGTGTACGGTGGACCAATAAAATTCGGGAACATTGACGTATCGAAGAATATAGTGCATGTTACCATGATGTCGCGCACGCAGCTGCCAGGAAAAGTTATATATATTTAATCTTTCATTGACAGTAAAATGTAAATTACTCAAAAGTCACAAGAAATCATAACGAAATACTCTTCAATCGGAGACAGGTACGATTTTGGTGAGCGTGGGATTACAACACAGATGCTGTCCTGCTGTGAACAGCTCAAGAGCTAGCATGCATGTGTCAAAGGTGACACCTTTATAAGAATTGCTGTGTGCAGTAGTTGTGAGCAGCAACTTTACTGGTGATGTTCTTAATTTAGGTCTGAGTCGATCTTGCCTGCAGTTTTTTTTTTGAACATCTTGCCTGCAGTTTCAAAAGGTTCAGTTTCTTTCTTCTGACGAATGATTGGCTTTGTTGCTTTATCAAGATTACAATCTATGCATGACATGACATGATCTTACAGCTCAAACCTGCAATTTGCATTGCACGTTTCGTTACATATGTATTTCAAAAACTCTATTTTGTCGTGGATCACGAAAATAGAATCTGAAATAGTATTAAACGAGACTAGCCATTTCTGGAAATATGGCACACCAATTATGTATATATTCCAGTTCAGATGAAATATATACTACTCCTACATACACAAACGGTTCTAGTTTACATATTATGCTTTCTAACAGCCTGTTCGCTGGTTGGTTTCTGGACTGATAAGTCCAGCTAATGTTAATTTGTTGTGAGAGAAAAATACTATACCATGACTGATAAGTTTTGGCTGAAACCAATAAGCGAACAGGCTGCAAGTTGATCACGCTTACTTTTCGTAATCTGGGATGTTGCCCAGTAAGGTCATGCCAATGCCAATATATATAATTATGACCTCAATCTCAGGGAAGCTCATTCTTTACAGACTGTCTGCCTCGCCGTCGCTCTGGCCCCGTTTGCTTCGCTGAAAAAACAAGCTGAGATATTGTTCCGGCTGATTTGTTGTGAGAGAAAAACACTGTTCTGGCTAAACAAACAAGCTGAAAAGTACGAATTATAAGAGAAGCGAACAGGTGAACAGGGCCAAAGCAATTGGTAGCCGTCGTACCAGTAATAATCAATTATGAAGACACCAAGAAAGCTTGTCATGAGACTATCTCCAACAACATCACCAAAAATACAAGACTCATTTTATATTTGGGTAGCGCTACATGTAAAGGATTTAATATCTATTTTTGGTCTTCTCCAGCAACAGGACCCAAAAGAGAACCATTTCTGCAAATGGCCCCATTCGCTGGTCTTAACTTTGGCTGAAACTGGTTGAAAAACACTGTTCTGGCTGAATTGTTGTGAGAGAAAAACACTGTTCCGGCTGAAAAAACAAGCCGAACAAGTCAAATTTAAGACAAGCGAACGGGGCCAATGAGTCTCCAGAAGAGAGGATAATCATATTTGGGTTATGCCTTTGCTATAACCCAAAATAGGTCTCGCATATAGATATTCTGTTGGATGCTAATACAGTACCGTCCACGACTTATTTTGAGTTTAGGTTTGCGTATGGGTTATCCATAGGAGACAGTCGGATACCTCCGTCCGGTTTAGCCAGCCCAGAAAAGTGATCACTAGCTTGTGACGCACAATAATAATTAGAGCCTGTTTGGTTCCAAATAAGTCACCTACTTATAAGTTAAAAAATAAAATAAGTGACTTATTTTGTCAAACACCACCAACTTATAAGTCACCCCTACTTATAAGTTTTAACTTGGTTCACCCCTGCTTAAAACTTATAAGTCACTATTTTTCACGTGGGGCCCACATCTTTAATGAGCTTATAAGTCATTTACAACCAAACATGCATGACATATAAGTCACTGATTTTCAGTCACCTAACTTAATAAGTCACCTGACTTATGGAAACCAAACAGGACCTTAATCTTTGGGAAGGGAAAATTCATAGCTTTCTTCTGTCATATATTTTTCCCCCGACACACCCGATTCCGCCTTTCCGTACGTGCTTGCATGCTCAAGCAGCAGAGAATTTGTACCAGATGTGTAATTGGAAATGCATGGGTTACGATCAACATTATTATTAACTAATGACATCACCGACGGCCGGATTCGATCTCGTTTTCGGGAAGAAAGAACTCGACCCGATTTGGGATAATTACTTGGTCGATGGCGAGAGACGACAAGGATGACGTCATAAAAATAAGCATTATTCCGCAAAAACGCAAAGCTTTGTTAGATCGACACGAATCTGAATTCCATGTCAGCGACGAGCGAGAGAGGCGCATTGTTTCATTGTTTGCGTGCGTTCAGACTGTACGTACACATTAGCTCGCGCGAGCCACGGATCGAAGGGACAGGCCAGCAAGTGATTATTATACTAGTTCCAGTACTAATTAACAATAGCTTGGCCGCGCGCTGATTGATTACAGTGAGGCAAAGCATCCGATGGCCGGCCGGCTAATTTAAAATCAGTGGCGGGCTAAAGACGGATTAAAGTAGCTAGTATAGCTAGCTCTCATGCAAGTGGGGAGGCGATTATTAGATTATTAGATTAGATTAGATGGGGATTAAGATAACCCCGAGCGGCGCGCTGTCTCTTCGCCGGGCATGTGCTCGCCCCCGCGCTTGTCGCGTTGCGATCTCCATCGACCGACGGCCGCGGCCCGGGCTCATCGATCAGCTAGCTCGGGCCTCTCCGTCCATGGCGCCCGGCCGGCCGCCCTCGCTCGTCGACAGCTAGCGATGACGACTTTTTCTTTCCTCGATGGCCGGGGTGGGGGGCGTCTGACTTTGACGATTATTGTCAATGACCCAGCCAGCCAGCAGCCGTAAGCAGGCGACGACGACGTCCGTTGCTTTATCGGATGGGACTCCATCGGTCGAAAGGATGATATGATGCGCTCGCCTAGTTGTCTGCCGCCGGGCCGGCTGTCTTAATCTGCGGTGACCTAATCCGGGCTAGGTGCGCACAATCCGGCCGCAATCAGAGGCCGCATTATTTCGCAACTTGTTGCCATTAGTAGTGCTTTGTCATTTGTCTAGCCCATTTGCAGCCTTCAGGGTCGTCGTTTCATAAAGTATGTTGTTATAGTCCTTCCCTGCCTGAAATGTCAATGTTAATTTAGCATCACATTGTAAAGACTTGGACTAATAGTTTACTTATAGTACTTTTATTCATTGCGATATATAGTCTATATATATGTACACGCATAAAACAGTGTAGTTAATCTAATCGAGGATACCCAAACCCGGCAAAGAAAATCCACTGATACAAAGGGCCAGGAAAGGAAAAGAACATGCAATGATGCGCCACGCTGTTAAGGCAAAGCCACGGGGGACACGTGTCGACCGGAGAAGATGAGCAATCGGTTGCACCAGCTAGCGACACGGCATGCAGGCGCGGGCCGTCCGGAGGGGGCCGGCGCCCCGCGAATCGCAGCAGCAGCCAGCGCTGGGTTCCGGGCGGTCCTGGTGCCCGTGCCCTGCCCGGGAGACGTCGCGTCGAATCTTTGATGATGCTGCCATGGGCCGTGGGCCAGCGACGCGCCGAGGCGGCCCGCGCGGCCACGTGACGGTGCCGGGAGACCTCCGCGCCGCGCCCTTCCGTTCCGCCCGAGCCCCGTCGCGTCGAGTGACACCGCTTGCCTCAGTGCGGCCCGGAGCGCCTCTGGTGTTAGGGTGCTGAACCCGTTCGGCCGTCGCGTTCGGATCAACTGCACCTGCACTGGCGTGTGGTGCGGAAAAACTGGTTACTGGTCGGAACGCCGGGGATCACGCGTCGCAAGCACGGATTGCTGCTGATCAAGTACGTGCTAGGGCATTATGGATTCTTTCGAACCCGGAATGCGCCGGAATTTGGAATTTGGAAACTAGTAGCAGCTGTAGCCTGTAGATCGTGCAATCGCGTTGCTTGCCAGCTTCCCAGAATCCCAGGAGTAGGAGCCGAGCTTTTTGTTGGGCCCTTGGTCCGGCTCGCTGCGAGTGGAGAGAAACAGAAGCCGTTTGAGTCGCGAAACATGGGCTTCTAGAACGGCATGACAATTCTCGCTAGCGGATAGATCTGACTGAGCCTTCTGCCTTTCGGTGCATTTTGAAGTTACGCGCACTCCTGCTGGTCACTTTTATCATTCTTCTCCTTTAAAAGTAAAAAAAAAAAAGACACAGAAGAATCGCTCAACTTGTTCATTATGCTGCTTGATATGGAACACAGACACTGTGAAGTGGGGAGTATATTCGTTGACGGAGACAGGAAGCATCGAAATGCTGATAAGATTTCTTCTGAATTCTGCGAGCAGAATGAACAAGACCACGTTTTCCTATTGAAATCCGTGTGCTGAAGTAACGGGGGCATGTTCGGCTTGTCTCGGAAAGCAAGCGCCTGGCAAGTGGCAACAGGAGTCACTTCTGTTCTGAACCTTGAACTCCAGTAACATCTCATTTCAGGAAAACAGCGTCTGGAACTGGAAGCTTGAAAGTCAGGGATGGAGCCAAAAATGCAGATATCGTACAGAGAATGCACACCGATTCTCAAGCTCTTCGCGATATAAACATAATAATAGGCAAATTACTATACTGCACAAAAGGAACACAGATTTAATCTGATCTGCTGCTATCCAAAGCAAAGAGATGTTTGAACGGTTACAAGCAAACATTAATATACGAAGACTCGCACATAAACAAAAGTTACAGTCAGAAGCTGCATAATCTGTTAGGTGCTGTACGATCGCTAACATAACGTCCACAGAACAGTCAAACAGGTTGCGCTTGCTGTTAGGACCTGCTCGCTTATCACTCTGTACAATCGGTTTCTGTTTATCCCATTTGTTTGGCGACGATCTCACTTGGGCCATTGCTGTCTAAACATGTCACTTGGAGCCTTGGAGTACCCGACGAGCTGCTGTATATACTCAGGAAGCAGCACCTGCCACATCTTTGCTTGATCGGTTGTACTTCATGTGGCTCTTCACAAGTTGGCCAGAAGCAAGGGCTGCCATGAGAGACAGCTCGCCAGCGAGCACACTGCCAGCGACGATGGTAGCCAGAAGCTTAGCATTTTCCCCAGTTGAGTCACGATTCGGACCCTTGATACCAAGCAGGTTCAGACATGCGGCCTGTGAAGCAAGACAAGTGCCACCCCCAATAGTGCCTACCTGAGAATGGACAGATTACGAAGACAAATTAGTGTCACAAAATACCGCATTCAATCAAATCACAGATATAAAAGCACGAGGAATAAGTAAATGATCTGGAAGGATAATGGGGCTATTGATTTTATAATTCCAACAAAACTTGATAGTACTAACCATAAGCCTGTAACCTTACACAGCACAAAAATCATAGTACCTCAATGGAAGGCATGGTCACAGAGATGTGAAGATCACCTCCATCATTCACTGCCTCCATCATGGTGAGGCACTGTGAGCTTTCAACATTTTGGGCAGGATCCTGCCCCGTAGCAATGAACAGGGCAGTTACGATATTGCTTGCATGAGCATTGGAACCTCCAAGAGCTCCGGCTACAGCTGATCCAGCGAGATTTTTTACAATGTTAAGCTCGACAAGTTTTTGCACAGTGGTCTTAAGAACACTCTGCACAACTCCCCCTTTGATTATGGCCTTACAAACAACAGATTTCCCACGACCTTCTATCCAGTTTACGGCTGCAGGCTTCTTGTCTGAACAATAGTTACCTGGCATTAAAAAAAAGTCAACGTGCATACCATGACTGGGGAGGGGGGAACGCTGATGGTCGCTTCTTTTTCGAACAATAATGCTAATAATAGATCATGACTATTACAAAGAATTTGTTCCGTGTCAAATTGAAACCAGCCAGTAAACTCACTACTCACTGCTGTTTTTATAAGACTAGATGAGTGCCCGTGCGTTGCAACGGATGCAACATAAATTGAATGAGATGTTTGTTAACCAAGTCAAAATCAAGAATATATCAATTTAATTTTTCACGTTGTCGGTACAGAAAGTGACCAACTAATGAATATTTGTAGTTTTGCTGTACGTTGTGATCGGAGGTGGCATAACACTCAATGACACATGATATATACTGGTTCAGGCAATGTGCCCTACGTCCAGTGTGGGTCGGTCGGTGACTTTATTCCTGAGTCCAGGTGCTCGAAGTTTGTAGTGGGGTTACAAACGAGAAGGAGAAAGGAGGGGTGTACGAGAGGCCCTCGAGTCCGACCGGAAGGGCCGAGGGCGACCGGAACTCCGCTATGAGCTAGGTGTTCAAGCATGTGCTTGAGGGGTTCGTGAGCTATCGATCTAGTGAGTCTGAACTTGAGGAAGCGGCCCTCTTTGTTAGAGGGAGCGCATCCCCTTTTATAGAAAAAGGGGATGGCTTTTACAGGTGAGAGGGAGAGAGTACGGATGTTACTAAGTCTTGTTGCCCATGCCGATGAGGACAGTGATGATGGTAGGCGCCCACAATAATGTTGACGTCACTGTAGAATGTCAGGTGCACATGGAAGGTTGCGTTGGCTTCTTCAGGAAGGGTGGATGTCGGTACCTGCAAAATACTATTGGTATACGAGGAGCCCTACCCTGTGTACCAGGTATGGTGAACCCTGACACCCACTATCGATGCCCAGAGGTATATGGGGGCTTTTTGCCGTATGGGAGCCCAATGGCGCCTACAATACTGTAGACACAAATATCGGTGCCTACAATACTGTTTGTGTCATGGCGGTTGAGGAGCACGGTTCCCGCAGCGTACATGGTATGGTCCTGGTATCGTGGTTTGACTTTGTGCACTGCCTTCTCCGTTTGCCCCTGGTCCCTTCCGAGCGGGCATCCCCGGTCGGATGGCCTTCTCGGCTGCTCTGGCCGCGCATGATCGGAGAAGAGTGGTGAGCAGGCTTCCTACGGGGTCCCCGGTCGGAGACGCGGGGTCAGAGTAGGAAGCGGTGTTTTGGGCCAGGCCTTTCCGATCGGAGAGATCGCCCGGAGGCGGCTGGTGACCGAAGCGAATGCTCCGGTCGGAGAGGTGGGCTGAAGAAATTTGACGAGCGGGTGCTTGTTCTTTTGGGTAGACCTTCCGGTCGGCGATCGGACTTGTCCTTTCGGTCCGTTGTGTTTTAGACTCTTGGGCTGGCCCATGAATTACGTGTTGTTTTCCTGGGCCGAGCCCTAGCGTGGAAGCCGGTCCCGAGGGGCCCCGGGTTTATGAACCCGATAGGAGCCCCCGAGCTCCCGGACGATTTTGAGCGGAATCGTCCGGGGATTTTTTTCTTCTTGCCGTGGTGCGTGTGGCACTCTGGGTGTATGTCTTGAGTTCCCCGGGCGGTTTGGGCGAGTAACGGTTGGGGTTTTTTTTGCGTTTGTCGGGGAGATTTTTCTGTTGTGTCGCGGGGTGCTTGTGCGCATCTTGGTGTAGTGTAGCCCCCGAGCCCCCGGGCGGTTCGGGCAGAACCGTTTGGGGATGTTGTTTCAGCGGGTGTTTAGTTTGAGACGGATTTTCATTTAATCACGGCGTCGTTGTGCAGCCGAGGGGTTTTTTAGGCGTGGGGATGAGATAGAACTTACTGATCCCGGTATCGGTGCGCGCCGTGGATCGGGTGAGAAGGTTAGTTCGGAGAAAACGCTAGCGTCGGTGCGCGCCACGGAGGGTGATAGCTCGGTTTGGACGTGTTAGAGCTCACTGATCTTTGGAGTCGATGCGTGCCGTGGGATCGAGCGAGGTGGAGCCGCGAACGGACCCAGGCGTCGGTGCGCGCCGTGGACCGAGGGAGTTAGTTTAGTTAGTTTCAGGAATCGGACGAGCCAGAGCTCGTGGATCCTAGGGAGCGCAGTCGGAAGTGAAGCCGTTACGTGAGTTTAGGAGTCGCGGTCCCAGTTTTGTTGGAGCGTAGTGAAGCCGTCTGAAGCCATTACGTGAGTTGAGGAGTCGTGGTCCCAGGGTTATTGGAGCGCAGTGAAGCCGTCTGAAGCCGTTACGCAAGTTTAGGAGTCGTGGTCCCAGGGTTATTGGAGCGCAGTGAAGCCGTTTTGAAGCCGAAGCATAGTTAGTTGGTTAAAGATCGGACGAGGCGATGCTCGCGGATCCTGGCGTTGGTGCGCGCCGTGGGATCGGGCGAGTCGGAGTCGTGGATCTGGCAAGTTCGAGGTCACTGTCCTTGGTGTTTTTCTTGAGCCCCCCGAGCCCTATCGGGCCTTCGTGGGGGTCGATGTGAGTATTATGCGTTACCCCATCCTCGGTTCCTCACAAACTAGAGGGGCTAAGTTTCATCGCCTGTCCCGATCGCTCGGGCTCGAAGACTAGCTCGGTGAGTTCGCTAACGGTGTGATCGAGTAGAATCTGGGTCCGTCGTTCGTGACGGGGTCGACATAGCCCTCTTGTGATATTCCACTACTCCTTTACCTGCAACCCAATAGATGCCTAGGTCATTCCGGAGACCGACCCGGGTGGCCTAACGGCCTCCCCTTGATGGAGATTCTATGGGCCTGGCAAGAGGTTCAGGATCGAACGAGAAGGTTGAGATGACCCGGTCTACCGGACCGGGCAAGGGCCGCACGGTGCTCATCTACGGTTTTCTCCTCTGGCTCTGTTGGTTGCCCATGTCGAATGAGGCAACCGCCGCTTCGTGACACAACACGGAGCGTTCTGGTGCATCTCGCTGCACGTGCGATGCTTAGTTCCCGAGCCCCTAGGTGGTTCATGCCCAAACCGTCTAGGGGGTTCAGGCGTATGGAATGAATGCGCGTATGGATGTATGAATGATATATAAAGAAATAGAGGGAGTTTTGGTAATGTTTACCTTGGCGACTGGAGTGACGGGGCTCGGAGAGCTTTAGTCGAAAATGTCCGACCGGGACCCGTGCTCGTCGTTCGTGATGGAGTCGGCATGGCCTACATGGGGCGTCCCTTCGCTTCCTACCTGTGTCTTGGTGTTTATCCTGAGCGATTCGATCGGCTCGGGGGATCGGTTGGTCTCCCGGTGGAGATTTCATTTTTCGTCTCCCCAGGTCTGTCCTAGGGAAGTGGGAGCTGTCTGTGTGTGGTGATGCTTTGATTTTCGTGCCCGGTCGTGCGATAGTGGTGGGCCATGCCCAGGCCACGTTTTCGCTTTGTCAGGCGACGTTCCGTCTGACCCGGTGTTGCTCCGTCAGTCAGTGTGCGTCCCTTCGGCCAGGGCGTGTCCCGTCATTTCCCATCCGCATTGAATGGGGGCAGAGTATTGCGCTCTCATAGTATGCTTTTCTTCTTTAAATAGGGGGAGGGAGAGGGCCCTCTGTCACAGTCCTTTGCTTGTTCTCCAACTATTGTCTCTCTTCCTTCCTCCTTCTCACCAAGAGTGCCTGTATGCCGCGGCGGTTCCTAAGTGAGAGAGAGAGAGTGAGCGAGGGGGAGGACTTACAAATCCTTTTGTGAACCCGGAGCATGATGTCGGACTAGAGGTGATGCCGGATCTGATCTGCGAGGCCTTCTTTGGGATGGAGCCGCGTATAGATTTTCTCTGGTGGATCTTTTCGGGTGAGCTTCTTGGAGGGAGGTTACTCATGATTGTGCGGTGGAGGGTTGCGTGCCTATAGCTGCTCAAAGTCGGCCAGTTCACAAAGTTTGATGAGATTTCTTCCAGCCATGGCGGCCATATACCTCGATGTGGCCCCCACCCAAGAGCTGCCTCGGACTGGATGAGAAGGTCAGGAGCTCCATGTTCTTCTTTGAGCATCTATAGGTGCGACGCATACGGAGGTATCTATTGCGTTTTCTTTGAAGTCGAAGGAGCGGAGCCGAGCGGGTCTTGGTGGTTGCATCCGGTTTCTTCTTTGGCTTCCAGCGATGTCATTCGAGCGGCCGTAGTAGTATTTGTAGAGAGAAAAGTATAATAGTTAAGTTTTGTGGGTAAGTCCCGTGTAAATAGTTTCTTCAGTATCAATAAATATAATAAACAGTACTACCCCGTGATTCGAAACCACCATATCTGCTTCCTTGTTTTTGTCCTAGCATAACCTTTGTTTTTATCCTTTCTTTTTTGTACCTGCCTGTTTGTCCCGTAGGGTGCGATCTTGGGAGCCCGAGGCGTGGCCCGTGAGGCTCGATTGCTCTCATCCATAGGGAAAGGTGGGGTGCGTTCGGTTTGGGAGTAAGAACAGGGTTACATAGGGTAATCAAAGGAATGGAATGTATTTCCGTTCGAGGAGAAAGTTGTATACCATGTGATAGCAAAGAGAAAGAGAGGTAATACTCAATATTTGTACACTTATGGAGCCCCCGAGCGACCCGGGTCGAAAGTGTTTTGGGCGGGTGAAAGCTCTAGTTTGGTTTTGGTTAATTGATGAAACCCTAAGTGCTAACCTAGTTTATCAAAGTGATTATGAGATAGGTAGCACTACTCCAAGTGATGAAGCAGTGGCAAAGATCATGACGACCGTGATGGCATGGTGATGATCAAATGCTTAAACTTGGAAAAGAAGAAAAAGAAAAACAAAAGGCTCAAGGCAAAGGTATAAATTGTAGGAGCTATTTTGTTTTAGTGATAGAGACACTTAGCGAATGTGATCACATTTAGGATTGATAGCCGTACTATTAAGAGGAGTGAAACTCGTATCGAAATGCGGTTGTCAAAGTGCCACTAGATGCTCTAACTCATTGCATATGCGTTTAGGATCTAGTGGAATGCTAACAGCCTTGAAAATGTTTGTGAAAATATGCTAACACATGTGCACAAGGTGA